ATAAGCTGTCAGGTAATGCATTCTGACGGACAAAAAGGTAGGTAATTTACAGACTGGTCGGCTGGATAACTAAAATAGTTTGGTATAATTGTCGGAAGATGAATAAACCGGGCCTAGATGTTATAATTTGCTTGCGTGTAGCGGATGCGTTAGGGTACGTGCACAATGGAACTGTGATATGTACTTATAGCCTGGATGATAGGATAGATGGAAGTTATCATCAATGCTTAAAATTATATCATTGGTTTAAATGTGAGCGTTCACATTGGAGCAGTGAGCATAGCTGGGATGATCGCTAATAGCATACCAGAACGAATTTTACCATTCTTTCTGCGAGTAGAAACCAGCTGACAAGGGTAGCGCATGCTCAGTCATCGTCTAGTCGTTAATTTTACTTAAAATGTATTGGATAGTAGATGAAAACGATCATCAGCGTCAAGCTATCCCTTCAACTCACTTCAACTTAATTGGGTTGGAATGGTATTCTCTTGAGGGTAAATGCCACAGAACATACCAATTTGTAGCGGACGAACATAAATAATCGTCATCACTGTATCACTGTCAGACATCGTGATCAGAAATGCGAGATGAAATTGTTTAGAAGCTATAAATCCACGTTAGTATCACAGCTCCGTTGTGCACACCTTATAAGCGCTCATAATTTCAGCTATGATCTGTCATCCAGGCTACAAGTTTGTATCATAGCACTGTTGTGCACGTACCCTTTGGGTTAGTGGGGTACATGCACAACGGAGCTGTGATACAAGCTTGTAGCCTGGATGACAGATCATAGCCGAAATTGAAAGCGCTTATAGGTGTGCACAACGGAGCTATGATACTAATATGAATTTATAGGCCTTTAAACAATTTCATGTCGTATTTCTGATCGCGATGTCGGACAGTAATGATGATTATGTATGTTCGTCCGCTACAAAGAGATATGTTCTGCGGCATTTACCCTCAAGAGAATACCATACCTACCGAATTAATCAAAAACGGTTAGGAATGAGAGATTATCACCTTATGTCAGGATGTGAAGGAATACCCTGATGCTGATGATCGTTTTTTTCAATTTTTGAGAATGGAACCATCTACTTTTTAATATATTCTAAGTAAAATTGAAGACAAGACAATGACTGGGCACGCGCCACCATTGTCAACTGATTTCTGATCGCAGAAAGAATGGTAAAATAATTATTTCTAGTATGCTGACTGCTCCAATGTGAAGGCTCACATTTCAACCTTTTATATAATTCTAACTATCGATGATAGCTATTCCATCGATCATCCAGGCTATAAGTATGTATTACAGCTCCGTTGTCATGTACCCTTAGTCATTTTGTTGATATACAATTAGGATCCCTACAGGAACCAAACTCAATAATAATTATTATAAATCCAGCTTCAAATCAAAAATCTGCTGATTTTATTATAGAACTCAATATGATTATATATTTCCCAATCTAATTGGCATTCACATTACAATAATATTAATATCACCCATTAAGCATAACGCTTATTTCATTATGGCTTGACCGTAATAGAAACCGTTTAAACTGATGATTGCACAATGCTCTATCTATAATTTAAACTTTTAATATCATACGTCATAGATGCGGGTACAAGATAAAATTAATTTGTCTTTGTTTTTTTTTTCGCTAGTAATTTACTTGATTAAAGTAGAAAGTAATTAAAATTATCTAATTATTATTTAATAATAACCTGAACTAACCCTAATCGAAGGGATGACGTCAAAACAAAAAACACTAACCTTGTCCTGTGAACCACTTCAATTAATCAATTTACTATATCTGGAGTATTTATTACAATTTTTTTTTTGCGGTATGGTGCCCAGTAATTAATCTAACGATCGCGGGATACAATTTAATTAAAATTTAATGATTATAAACACCTAGACGGGGGCAATTAAATTAAACCGGTTGTAGTAGGAATATATTGTTAACAGTTACTACATTTTGTAAAGGGCACAAAAATAGTCTCTACAAACTTAAAAGGGCGTATATCTCTGGATTTCTTATGCAAATTGTTTCTTCTCGAGGTGCACGTATTTAGCATTTTACAGAAAAAACTTCAAAGAAGGTGCAATAGTTGTGGCATTGGTATGCTGCGGCCGAAAAGCCAAATAAAATTTACAACTTTTCCATTGAAAGTTTCACTCAAAGGCATGGAAATTTTCTCCTATAAGACGAGAGACATATAGGGTCAAAATGGTTGTTTAAACAAAATAAAAATTCTATTCACTTTTCAACTAACTATCTTATCAGAAAAGGAAATGGTAGTCGGTATATTAAAGAGAAAAGTAAACCAAGATAAGCTTATCCAAAATTGGAGCAGAACAGATTAAATACTTAGAAATGAATGAACCTCTGTGTTGTAATGTGCTGGTTTATTTGCGATTAGGTTACTTATTCTAGTTTTGATAAGGCTTAAAATGATGCAGATTATTTCTTTAAAAAAACAGTCTCTTATACTGAAAAATGTAATTTCCAATGAAAAGTAAAACATCACCTTGTCTTCCCATAGGCTCTTGAGAAGGTCAAGGGAAATTTCCGCAAGTAATTTTTAATCAAGCATCGATTAAATTAAAATTATTTTGTAATGCGTGTACGGTAAACACGTGCGAATTTAAGTTATGTCGAGTGCTGACCTTGTTGCAACTGAAGTTGTTCGTGCATGTTGATATTAAGAGGGAATCGAAGTGGAAAAGAAAAATATGAACATTGAAAATATTCCCTGAAATTTTACCGTAGGGGAGACCGGGGCAAGTTGATGCATTTTTTAATTTCTTCTAGCATCTTAGATATCCGAAGAAAAAAAATGTAATAATAATTCCTTATGAAAACCCTATCCTAAAATTTGATATTAAAAACCATGAAAACCTGAAAAGCTGAGTGAAAAAAATCATTATTTGCTTGGTGTTTTCCGGGATGGCAAGGATTGGAATATAGTCCACACAAGAGAAATGAATGTGGAAAACATAAAACATTGGAAAACGAATCCGTCTACGAATATTACAACTTAATTTTAATAATCAATATTACATTCCTAGTTCTGTTTTTTGGTCTATACACACTAATGCACAAAGGAGGATGTGATCCTTCTTCTCATTTCCTAATCGAGGCGATTCTTGAATTGAATTTCTATAGGTAGAGTTAATGGTGACAGCACTCGGCGGTGACAATTGTAGACATCTATTTTCTATTGATACGGAAATTTCTCCGCAGGAACTTATTGCATTTTTCTTTGTAAAACTTTTGATCATGACTCCTTAGATTTGTGTTGTGACTAAGATGGAAGATGTCTGTCAGATTACAGGCATAATGACCGTTGGAGTATTTTATGTGTTTCAATAAGATCACCTGTGATTTTCTTGTCTCCTAAAGTAATGAATCTTACGCGACTTTACTCATAGGGAAGATCTTTAAGTTCTTGCGGTAATCATATCTTTCAGTAATCGACACAAATTTGGTAGATCCTTCTTTTGCAATTCTTCAACAACATCATTTGCAAGGATACTATCAATAGGTACTGTCTACTAGTGACTCCACTTCTTGTTTAATTATGGGAAGTACTTGGTGGTTGACAGATTTGTTGAGCAGTGCCAGTAATGATTTCATGCTTAATGATATTCTTCTTAACAGTCTCGCTTTTTTTACCTTAATATCTTTGTTCTCACAAACGAAGTGTTGAGTCGTCTTCAATGACGTAAAGGAGAGATGTTGCCAAGATGGCCAAAATTATCTCAGAATGTTGCTCCTCTCCTTTCGTGTCGTGATATTCTTCATGGGTATGACAACATCGTCCTTGTTGATTTGGATAGTGTTGAGTTCGAGCGAAGGTTTTTGCTATACCGACAGGTATGATCTCTTGTTAATTTACCAAAGTTTCCCCAACGAGATATTTATTGGTCTCCCTAGGTTCTGAAAGTACAAACTATTCAGTGACAAATTTCAGGATGTTAAGTCGGTAGTGATGAGCGAGACTAGTCTTGGTCTTGCGGTCTTGGACAAAATTCCTTCCAGTAAAAATCTACTAAATAAATGCAAGACTTGCAAGAATCTTGGTGCAAGACCAAGACCAAGACCAAGACTGGATCCCGCAAGACCAAGACCACTTATTGGACTGCAAGACCAAGACCGCATATGCAAGACAAGACCAAGACTAGCCCGGTCTTGGTCTTGCATTTGCTCATCACTAAAGTCGGTTGTCGGACCCGAAAACATCTCGAATTGTCAAGAGCATACCCAAAATAAACTCATCATCTATATCAGCAATTAGCACGTTCTGTCTGATGGTTCCTAATAATATATCCTAGACTCAGAGGTCGACTTCTGTTTCACCATCATGTAGGGGAGCTTGGGGCTAAATAGTCCCTAGAGATTTCTGCTAATTTTTATAGGCGACGTATCTTTTTCAATGCCGCTGGTATAGCTTTTTGTCTCTATAATTACCTACTTTATTAACGCTGTAGTATGCTTTCGCTGATTAAACAACTTGTTACGTGCATTAGCCTCTTGAACAGGTGACAAAGTGAAGAAAGACTTTCTTGATGTTCTAAAGGATTAGAAACCGATAATTATTGCATTATTTACAAGTATATATTTGCTTAATATACATATATCAAGCTTTTGTACCTGGGACACTGTATACGAACATTTTTCCTTAAATATTTATCATTTTATTGGACTGGAAAATTAATTTTTCATCTAAATTCAATAAGTTTTAATTAAAAATCCTGTAAGACGAAGCAACATCCATAATATTCCATTAATAACCTTCCCAATCTGTCTTATAGCAATATAATATAGCCCCAATAATTCAATAATCAACACAATTACACCCCACCACCACTACCACTGCCGCCAAACTTCAACCCTCGCTATAGCCGAGCCGAGGGGGTAGAATCCTCCCCGACTTGTACAATTCTCACAAATTGCTTTTCAATATAACTCTCCCCCTTGCTAGCAGCAGGCAGCCGGCTGTTTCGGTTCTGTTCACTCTCGGTCGTGTCGGCACGACAGGATCGTAGCATAGCAGCAGTCGTAGACCGACCTCTACAGTCGACGGTTCGAGTATTTCGCTTATACATTTTGAAATAATTCGTGTGTTCCGAGTTACACGTTCGGAATTTCATTTTTGCTCAACAAACTTCACTTTAGAACGAACAGAAAATGAGCGTTGGTTAATTTGTGGCGTCACTAAAAACGTGGTGTTTTTATTTTATTATTTTATAAATTGGATTATCAGTGTTTTTGTGAAAGATGGGATTTGTAGTGATTTAAGTGTTTCTTTTTGTAAGTAATCTTTTAGTGATTACTTATATTAGTGTAATGTAGTTTATTGTGAAAATATAAGCTAGAATTGACTCAATTATAATAGGTACCTACATAATGATTTTTCTTTTATTGATGAAGACATTTTACCATTAATATCATGCATGAAACCGGTTTGGAAGATTTCTTTTAAGCCCCAGTTATATGAGATCATCAAATTGTCTTACCGACACCGTTGCTCTACATCCACAACCTTAAAAATTTCAGAACACTATTGAGCGTTAACCTCAAAATGTCCATGTTATTGTTGTGGAGGCACGATGCTGAAAATTTCTGATTAGAGGAGGGTGATTTTATAGCTTGGAGATTCATTGAATCTTAGTTTATGCTCTGAGGAGAAAATCTATCCAACTATGTCAGTTCAAAATTATTAAGTACCTAGAGTTTTTTTATGCTCGATTTTTGGAGTTGATATTTGCGACACGTGAATTGTAGATTTGTTGTACCTAGACAAATTATTGTTGTAAAGACAACTGCGTAGAGATCTGATCTGTATATCTAAATTCTGGAACATTGCGTTCGTAGGAAGTTTGGTTTTTGATTTTTTTGATAAAAGAGTTTAGCAGCAGCTCAATGGAATTTAGGTAGATTTATTGTACTTATCCGAAAATCAATTTTCTCTTTCCTCCTAGAAAGTCTGTAGAAATATAATCTATGAGGGTTAGGATTTGAGATCATTTCCTATTTTTGGTAGATTCATTGGTTCTCTGATTCTATGTGAATTTGTAGAGTCATTGTACCTAAAACCCCGAGTAAAAAATGTTAAAATCCGGGTTGACAACTGTGAGGAAAATTTTGTAGAATTTTTAATTGAGTAGGTAGGTAGATTCTGGATCATTGCATATATTAATAGATTCATTGTTTCGAGTAATTATTTCAGGAATTTAATGAATCCAGAACCCATGTGAATTTGTAAATTCGGTGTGGATCAAAATTTAAGTCTAATGGAATTTCAACTATACTGGGTGTTTGGTACATCGATAGGAAGTTTTCAATACGTGATTAGTTGGGGTTATGTGGGAGCTGTTTGACCACATTTACCCTTATGCAAAGTTTCGTCGTTTTTGAGATATCAAAAATGTTTAGATATTTTTGGGAAATATTTGAATTGTGCCTTAAACTTTTAGTAGTAAACGCTTTAACATTTCTCAATTTTTTTTCCAATATTCCTACTATCCACTCTTTCGGAAAAATATGGAATGAAAAACCGAATGATTGATACAAGAAATATGTAGCCCAAGTTATGTGTTAAAATACATGAATTCAAAATATTTAAAAATGGCGATATCTCAGTAAACGGCGAAACTTTGCATGAGGGTAAATATGGTCAAACAGCTTCTAAATGACCCAAACTATCACTCATTGAAATCTTCCTGTCGATTTACCAAACACCCTGTATATACCTAGTTTGAAGATTCAGGTATCCTAGAAAATTGGGGTTGGTGAACTTATTGTTAATAAATGGTAAGGAAAGGTCTTAAGAATTGTTGGAATTCATCTATATTTATTCAAAATTGTTGGTAGAAAATCTGTAAGTTCTTAGACTTAATTAGACCATTCTCCAAAATTTCTACGTCAGTCCGTATATATAATATACCTGATCAAATTATTGTTTCTGCAGGAAAAGAACTTGAGTTCTTTTACATGTTTGTGAATATCTCTAGGTATTTTTATTTAATAAAAATGTTGTTATGGCAGTGATAACATTTACCATCCAGGACCTGTATATTTTTGTTATTATGTTTGGGCAGGAGGATAGAAAATCTGCATACTTTCAAATTCGTCTACTTGAGATTTTATTCAAAAAAGATAGAACCTATATTTCGCTACTATTTCAAAGAGAGAAAAATTAAGTTTATGCATGAAATACATCTTTCCTACCCATTGTTCCAAAATTCCAATTGAACGAAAAAGTATTGTCTAACAATGAATTATCAATTATGAATCCACATTATTATCAATCATCAAATTGCTCTACTTCTACTGTTTTCAAAGACCTTTCTAGGAAAATGTATAGTCATGTCAGAAGTGAATCTGGGCCTGGATGATGGAGACATTAAATTTTGGCTTAATTCAAAAGCATGCCTACAATTTTTCAAGGCGCAAAATAAATTAGAATAAACTGATAAAATATTCCGCTATCCTTGGCTCAGGTTTATTAACGTAAACAACACATTTATTAGCTATAAATCCTTAGATTTTGTAACAACCTGGCTTAATTCAAATTTACGTCGTTTGTTTAGGCTGTATATTTCATTGAAGTCGCAGGTTCAATACGATTGCGTAAGAATAGGAGTAGGTATCTATTTGATAATACAGACAGGTACCTACTTACGACGATATTATACTCATCATCATGCCATAAATTGATGAATAGTGGTCAACCTGGAGAAAAACTTCCCTAATTATAATCATTGTGAATCAACCTCTTGCATTGACAATTGGCCTCAGGGACCTAGGCTTCTATGTAGATCTCAATTCCAACAATATTTTATTCCATCGATCATCTCACATCCGCGCCACATGACCAGGCCAGCTTAATTTATTACGAACGCCACTTCTTTTGCATATATCGTCGTTCCTTATTGTACACGGTTTCTTGAGGTCAAAATCAGCATTGCTCTTACCATGTTTTTTTCTTTTTGCGTTATAATGAACTTCTTAGCGGATGCAAGACCACCACACATTGGTTGCTTTTGAATACATTTTCAACCTTCTATTTGCAGCCCGAAGAAGGGCGATACTTCTCTTCATTTTACAATTTACGTGTCGGATTGTTCCTGGAGATGCAGGTTCACTGCAAGACTCTATTGGCTTAAAACTTCAATTATCTCACGGTATCAGGAAAAAAAGACGGTTTCTTTATTATCACTCTGTAAATTTGAATTGTTCACAAAGAAAAAGCGAGAGAGAAAAAAACAAGAAGAATCATCACCTCTTCCTGAACCAATACATACATAAAGTTAATTGCCATTGATAACTTTTTGTAAGAAGCTTCAACAAGGCTTATTGGTTTCCAACTTGGATGCTAATTCGATTTTAAGAGTCGAGATGCAATAATAGCCTTATTTCATGGACATTATTTTGTAAACATGTTTTTCCAGCTTAAAATCCTATTCTTTTAGTAGTTATATTGTATCAAGGGATAATTAAAAACATATGGCCATGAAATCCTAAAGTTCCCTCAGCAAAAATCAAATTACGTGCCGGTTAATTTCCAGGTGCAAAACAATCAAGTATCCAATTTGCGCCCTCTTCCTTTTTTCGGGTGATGCGACATAACGATGGATGGTATAGCCGGGGCAATTTTAAAAACTAATTACACGAGTCTACTCTCTTACCCCTTCAGGCGGAACAATAATATGTGGGTAGAATCCAGGTCCGGATTTTGATCGATATACCTAATTTACAAAACAAAAACCTATTAAAAAGTTCTTGTAAAATTTTCTTCATCGTGTCTCATCAAGACAAGGCCATCAGAGGAGACTGACTTGAAGAAAAAAAAAATTAATTAGTTTTCAGAACTCATTAGATGGGATCCGGCGTGGCAAGGAAATTAAAACGGTAAAATAAGATTTATAAATTTAATAACCAAATCGACTTTGTAACAAGTTGAATTAGGCGTTCGTTTACAATCAAAATGTTAAGCTCTTGAAAGAAATAAAATACACTGTTATATTATTGTTAAGACCGAGATTAACAGTGACTCTCCATTAGGCTTACCATATTAGAAGAATAATTTCTAGATACATATTTATTTTTGATTGTGACATAATTGTGTTCTCTTTCTGAGGCCTAAATTTATCTTTTCCTATTTCTTGAATGGTACTTTTCTAGGCACCAGGAATATTTTACGCACAGGGTAAACCATTAGTGGAAATTATTGTATTTTTTTTTTTGAGAATCACATAGTTATCAATCAGGAATACATGGAAATCACTTGGGAGTCCCTGGGAATCGCTAGGAATCTCCTAGGACCGCATAGTCTTCATAATCCATTGGCAATCGCTAAGAATTATGTGGTAATCGCTGGGAATATCATCCCATTCTCCAGAAATCCATATCATATGTCATCATTTTAAACAATACAGCGTATCGATCAGTTGTGTATTTGCCTTCAACCCCCAGTTTCACAATGTGCAGTCACCAAATGGTTAAACGAAGACCAAAGGTTAATGAACACAACGTACCTGACTCACTCAAATGGCAGTTATTCTCATTAGTTCAAAAACCACACGTTTCAGGTGAGTTTCTAATTTGAATAGTTCAACAGTATATTGGTAAGTAGATGGCTGCGGAACTCGCTGCGCTCGTACCGCAGAGTTCCACCCATTTGCCTTTCATCAGGAATTAGTAATGTTACTTTACCAAACTAGTAACATAATGTGACAAGTTATTCAAGTAGGTACAAACGAGTGGATTTTTGCGGACCTTATGGGTGGACCTCTGCGGGACGAGCGCAGCGAGTTCCGCAGCCATCTATTCATCAATATGTTGTTTAAGTACGATACTAACCTGACTCACTCAAATGTGAGTTATTCTCATTAGTTTAAAAACTACACGTTTCAGGTGAGTGTCTTATTTGAACAGTTCAACAGTATATTGGTGAGTAGATAGCTGCTTTCCGCAACAATCCACCTATTTGTACTTGAATAATAACTTATTATATAAAGTCAGAATTTGTAAGATTATTCACTTTATGTCAATTTGCCTTTCATCAGGAATTAGTAATGTTACTTTAGCAAACTAGTAACATAATGTGACAAGTTATTCAAATACAAACGAGTGGATTGTTGCGGACCTTATGGGTGGACCTCTGCGGGACGAGCATAGCGAGTTCCGCAGCCATCTATTCACCAATATGTTGTTCGAGTATATACTAACTTGATTCTCTCAGTTGTGAGTTTTTCTTATTAGTTCAGAAACTACATTTAGAATAATGTCTTATTTGAACAGTTCAA